ATATATGTATATATGTGTATATGAGATATATATATATGTCTTTATATAAAAATATTGTATGTATAAGTAGTCTTATATCAGTCAATACACGCAACACTGTAGTCGCAGAGTTGAAGGAAAGGATACAATATATTAATACCTTCTGAGACATCGCGTAAGATATGCATACAGCTATGGATGCCAATCATGTACCACTGAATATTTAATGAATTCCACGGGCCACTTGTTCTAAATTCAACAATATCATTCTGATGCTTTTGTGATCGTTGCGGCATCATGAGGCTTTTTGGATACTTGTGTGCGTATTTACTTTCCGTCCAGCGGAACACTATTTTAAATTTACTATTTACATACATACAAACTACATAATAGGAGCAGACAACATGAAATATTGGACGGAGGAACCCGGCGATTTTTACTATGGAGGTTGACCCAGAGTAACATTAAAAATTATGTTTCATTGGAAGTTAGATGATTCTATTTCTTCGGCTTGACGAGTAATAAACGAATGCTTAATCTCATCCCGATCGGACTATTGGTGCAAAAGTTAAGAAAGATTCTAGTTTGTACCAGAACTGGGTCAAATTAGGCGCACATAGGCGTTATATAGGTCCATCAATACCCAACAGACCTTTCTGGCTTTATAGCATACTACTTTAATGGTCTATGGGGGGTTGTATGTGCGCGTAAAGCGAGTTTGGATGTGTATTTCGGGTACCTCATATTGTAACCAGTACCTTTTATACTAGTGAGAATGTGAGCTACCCGATATACACGTCCAGACTCGCTATAAGCGAATATAAAACCCCCCATAGACCACTATGCTAAAGGTCTGTTGGGTATATATAATGCCAGGTTCCTCCGTCCAATATTTCATGTTGACTGCTCCTATTACGTATTTTTTTATTAAAAAAATAGATGCTCTCGTTGATTTTGGTTAGGTTTTGGTTTGTTATGTTTTTTTGTTTTAAAAGAAAACAAAGCCAAAACAGAATAAAACAAAATTATTAATAAAAAAGCTTGCCACTTGATAAATTGGACGTCATCAGTGACATCACAGCATTTTGGCGTGCGATCGGCAAAGTATATTCTTTTCTAAAAAATAAATGAACCCCGGACATAACTTAAATTAGACCAGACTATTCTCCGTCACACTTATGTATTTATGTATTGTGACAATACATACTGAATTTAAATATGTGGACAATGCAGTGTTATTGACATAGTATTCGACTGTAGTGAGCTTTCCATTGACCATTATATGCAACTCAGACACATATCGATAACTTAGAGAACTCGAATAGAGATCTGCTCAGCCATATGCACCGATAGATCAAATTCCAATATGCAAAGCATTCGCAGGTCGACCCGTCTCCGCGGAGCACTCGAATACAGACAGCTGTTTGGCAACTTCCAGGCTTTGACTAACACGCGCATGTCCATACACACAATTCTGTGTACTCGTTGCACCCAGAATAGACTTGATATATCGGTTATGACATCATTCAGTACATACAAGAAGTTACTTTCGCCAAAGCACAGGCTGGCGCATTCATTGCTGAAAAGTAGTCATTGCGGAGAGAGCAGTATTTCAAGGGCTCATATTCTTAGTCCTGCGAGTATATGTAGCTATCGGTACTTAACTACTAAAGACAAGTCAGACAAGCAAACAATAGGTGAAGATAAATTGAAAATAGATTGGTCGAGGGCGTCCGCAATTCATAGTACTGCGCTTCCAGGCGGGGCTAGAGAGGTCAGCGAGTCATGGGTATCCAGAGGCAAGTACAGCATCCCGTACAAGACCATCAGTGTGGTACAAAAAGAGGGAACTATTGGAGATGAAGTGTGTGTACGTGGTTATGTGAAGTCGGATCGCAGGCAGAAGGACGTGACTTTCTTGGATGTAACGGATGGGACGGTGATGCATGCATTGCAGGTGGTCGGTACACCGGAGAGCATACCACGGTAGGCCCAAGCGATATATACTTACAAGTGTCTGTGGCTACCACCATGCACATATATATGCACTGAAAATCATGAATTTCTGTTTCTAGTTGATTTTATGGGAAGAAATGTGTGTTGATATATGTATAAATGTGCCAACTCCTACAGTATTCGTTTATATCGACCCTATGTGTAACCCTTGTGTTCACTGTGTCCGCGTGCGGTGAGAATATTCCTCTTATTGTCATAGATACAACTATCAATTGAAATAACTGCTAGTTTTGACGGGGTTCATAATACTTTTCGCAAGTGCATAGTAAAGTTCGTCTACATTGTACTTTGTAAGATTATGAACAAAAAAAACGCCCTTTTGTTCTATAATAGCTACAACAGCAGGTGCATGATCAATGTGTGACGAAATAAAAGTTTTAGATCTGTGGTTAGTCTTGGTTTGAGGGGACGAAGTAAACAATGGCTCCGACTCCGATCACTTAGTAATATTGTCATTAACGTTTGTATTATCTCGTTGTTGTTAGAAAACCTCTGCATCAACCTTGTATATCTCTGTGTTTATTTTGCTTGAAACTCTGCTGCTCCATCACTTTGGGCGTACACGATCACCTGGCTAACTCTTTGTGTTTATGTATATACATATATCCATATATATATATATATATATATATATATATATATATAATATATATATATATAGTATTACTAGAGTAGTAGT